TTTTTTTGTGTCTGTTACCACTTTTTCTCAGCTCTCACCGAACGGATTTCTTTCAACGATACGTCAAAAGATCACAAATTGTATCTAGTCGAAGACATTACCCTTCAAAATTGAAAAAATTTCCCTCGTTCCCCGTAAATGGGGGAAACCTCCAAAAAATTACAAATTTAAAAATCGCCAATTTTCGAAANCAAAAAAATTACAAATTTAAAAATCGCTAATTTTCGAAATTTTTTCAATTTTTTTTACTAAAATGTGCCGTAACTTTTTCAAAAATGAACATATCAATATAATTTTTTTTTGATAGATGCTTGATGTCTTTACCTATCATTTGGTATATTTTTTTTGTAAATTTGACCTTTTTTCTGCCCACAGGGGGGGATTTAAAATGACAACTTTTTCACAAAAAATTAACTTTTTCAACTTAACTTTTGAAAATGTTCCGGAAGGTCTGACATTTTTATATATATCTTAAATTAAAGCTAATGTAATGTACTTTAATTTAAAAAAAATTTGACCTCTGGACTTGTCTTCATGATGAAAACGGCTACCGAATGCTATTTTTGTGTGAACATTTTCGATTTTATAATTTTCATTTTTTACTTTAAAGTGCTATAACTTTTTAAAAAATGTATGGATCAATATAATTTTTTCATGAAAAGTAGTATTCATATATATCTTTCATTGGATATACTTGTTTTTTAAATCAGACCATTTCCCTATATATGGAGGGGCTTAAAATATAAAAAATGCATATATAAAGTAGAACTTTTTCAACTTAACTTTTGAAAGTGTTCCGGAAGGTCTGACACTTTTATATATATCTTAAATTCAAGCTTATGTAATATACTTTAACTTGAAAAAAAAAAAATTTGACCTCTGGACTTGTCTTCACGGCGAAAATGGCTACCGAATGCTATTTTCGTGTGAAAATTCTCGATTTTATTATTTATATTATATTTAACTTTATAATGCTATAACTTATTGAAAAGTTTATGGATCCACACAATTTTTTTATGAGAAATAATATTTTTTAATAAACCCTTTTTCATTCGACATACTTTATCTTAATCGAGATATTAATAAGGAACCAGCAGATCAAGTAGCTTTTGGAATAAAACACCAATTTTTTTAAAATTAAACACTATCTAAAGATTTGCATCGAAGCGTTTATTTTTGATAGTGATTTTAATCACTGTCAGATATCATTATACTTGATCCAACTATGCCACGTCACCACTCTGCCGCGACTCCTCTGTGCTGGGTTTTTTGAATCGTATTTAACCAGAGTTGTTACGTTTTAAATGTTCCGTGTACCAAAATGTTCCAAATTTGTAACATTGGTCTTATAGGCCATTTTAAACGTTTTAAATTGATAACTTATGTTTTTTAACAATACTGTATTCAACAAAAATTGTGAGAGCAACAATTTCTAGAATTTTTTTAAATTTTCTTAAACGTTTTATAAATGTGAATGTTATTTGAATCATTCTATTGCTTTTATTGATATTTAATACGATAACGTATGCGTTTTAAGTAAAGTATAGTACAAAAATGATCATTTTTAAGTTAATCTACAGTATTTAAGTTATGATTTTATTTAATAATGTATGATTAATAAAAATTGAAAGAAAAAAATATTTTTTAAGTTTACATTTTTAAATAACATTAATTAAAATACTTTTATTAAACTTGGTATGGATAAAGTTTAATTTAAGAAGATAAATACAATTTTCAAGAATGATACCAAACGCGTGATTCTCTTTTTAATTATATGAAGTGATATTTAATTCTTCCATAATATATTAAGTATTATTCTATTTTACTTTAACGTCTTTTAAAGCTTCAATTAAAAATAAATGTGAACTCATTTTTATTGAGTGGAATTATGCCCATTTAGTATGCAATTTAAGTCCGCCGAATAGAATAAAGTACAATTAATAACTTTCTTAATTTAATACATTTTTGATATAGTTCATTATATATAGAAATTTTATAATTAAATAAGAATTTTCATCTAGAAATAAATATTATCGCATACAGTTGATTAAATTTTTAATTAAAGGGGCTATTACCAAAATAATTATTTCATTAGAAATATAGGTTTAGTAGGACCATTGGGAGTGGTAAGCATCTTTAAATTTTCATAATTAAATTATCTTTATAAAATTTTCATAAGGAGCAGCTAGATTTGTATCTTTTAGTATTTTGTTTAACATTAACTAATAAAAACACAAACTGTTCAGTTTATAACTTCATTATTTGGAAAATAACTACGGTATATTAAAACATTAACATATTGTTATTTTTGTAATAAGTAGTTATTAAAGGTATTCACTTGCTCTATCTCTTTGAATACAAGGTCAAAAATATTCTTAGATACAAATGATTCAACAAGTAGCTCGTAATAATTTCGATTTTTATTGTACGTAGTTTATAACTTTTATAGTAAAAATAATATTTAAAAAAACATTTATTTATTTATAATTTGTTTACATCATGTAAATAATTATTATTTAGTGTACAAATATTTTTTGTATAATAATTATAACATCTATTATTAAGCGTCGATGCGAAGCTGAATAGGTATTAATATAATGTGTTTTTTTTTTGTTACCACTTTTTCTCAGATCTCACCAAACCTATTTATCTCAAAGATATGTCAAAAGATCACAAATCGTATCTAGTCGAAGACATTACCCTCAAAAATTGAAAAATTTTCCCTTGTTCACCATTAATGGGGGAAATCTCCAAAAAAAATACAAATTTAAAAATCGCTAATGTTTGGCATTTTTTTATTTAAAACTGCCATAACTTTTTTAAAGATGACAAAATCGATATAATTTTTTTTATATAGATGCATGATATCATTACCTTTCATTTGGAATATTTTTTTTATAAATCTGATCCTTTACCTGCCCATAGGGGGGACTTAAAATGATAACTTTTCACAAAAAATTAACATTTTCAACTTGATTTTTGAAAATGTTCCTGAAAGTCTGACACTTATATATATATATATTAAATTAAAGCTAATTTAATATACTTTATTATGGAAAAATTTCGGACTTTATTTTGTCTTCACAGTAAAAACAGACATCTAAGTTAATAAAAAAATAAGTAAAAAATTCTATTTTATATTTTTAATTTTATAATGCTATAACTTTTTGAAAAATATATGGAAAAAAGTTATGGCAGTTTTAAATAAAAAAATGCCAAACATTAGTGATTTTTAAATTTGTAATTTTTTTGGAGATTTCCTCCATTAATGGTGAACAAGGGAAAATTTTGCAATTTTTGAGCGTAATATCTTCGACTAGATACAATTTGTGATCTTCTGATGTATCGTTGAAAGAAATCGGTTCGGTGTGAGCTGAGAAAAAGTTGTAATAGATAAAAAAAAAAATTAATAAAAAAAAACATCATAGTAAAATTAATACCATCTCAGCTTTGATACGAAGTTAAAATACGATTTATGTAAAAAAATTCTTTTTTTTTATTTTTAACTTTATAATGCTACAACTTTTAGAACAATGTATGGATCAATACAATTTTTTCATAAGAAGTAGTATTTAGGTTCAATATAATTTTGNATTTGGAATAATCCACCAATAATTTTAAATTAAACACTATCTACATATTTGCATCTAAGCGTTTTTTATGATAGTGATTTTAATACCTCTATGGGTAGAAATGGATTGGATTTTTAAAAAAAAAAAAAGCCAAATTTAAGGAAAATAATAATAAAATAAAATAGAAATTAAAAATAATCGTGTTAATTCATATATTTTTTAAATATTTGTAGCAATTTTAAGTTAAAAAAGTAAATTAAACATTGAAATTTGATGATCTTAAAAACTATTTTTTGAAAGATTTACTGAATTTACAGGACATGGGGAATTTTTTTTTTGTTTTAGCTATGATGGGTCCTACTAGACACAATTTGTCATCTTTTGTTGTATAGTTGAGCAAAATTAGTTCATTAAGTGCTGAAAATTTGTGTCTTGAAACACAAAAAAATGCATTGTTGTAAAACTAATATCGTCTCATCAAAATTAAAAAATATACGAATTCTTGATACGAAATGATTCTTATATTAATCTGATAATTCAATATAACATGATATTGTAACTTTTTAAAATATTTCGTTTCATTTGAATGGTATATTTTTTTATTATAAAAAAACTAATATTATATTTCCTGGCATAAGATATAATAAAATGCATCAAAATTCCGTTTTTTTTTAATGCATTGTTGTGAATACATAAGCCGAATGAAAATAATTTTTTTTCTCGTAAAACATGACTATTCCTAAACATATATATATATATATATATATATAAATCATTTAACGTGTAATTTATATCAATCAAATGGTAAATACATATTAATACGTAATTTTATATATGTGTAAATCTTGTGTTAACGCTGAACGACGAATTTTTTGATAATGATAACAATTAAAAGTGAACGATTGCATGACCAAAATATATGTAATATACACATATATAAATTTTATTTTTTTATGCTATAACACTTTTAAAACTCTCAAATTCACTTATTGTTGTAGATATCTCTTAAATTTAACATCTAATATATGTATTGTAGCGTAGTATATAAATATAAAAGCAAAATAATCAATTTTTATTTCTTAAAAATTAAAAACCAGTTTTTAAAATATTCTTATATAATTTATATATTTTTAAATTGAATGGATTATTAAAAAATCCTGTAATATCTAATAGATATGCTTATATAGTAATAAGCATCTTATAAATGACATCAGACTCTACATGCGTCAAGAATCTTCTCATATACAATAAATAAAAATTACATAATTTACTAGTTTTCTTATTTTATGAAATCACTTTAATGAGTTAAAGTTTTAGTTTTTTAAATAATTTGTTTTGTATCTGGCAAAATTTAAATTCGTGATTATCTTATTTGTTATTAAGAAGTTTTATTTAATTAATATATAAATATATGTACTTTTAATAGCTTTTGTAAATTCTATTAGTGCAATATTTTAGCTTCGATATGAAATATATTACCTCGTAAGTTTCGAAGCTTATAAGGAAATAGTTTTGTATGTAATCTATAATATCTGTAATGAAAATGATAGCTTTAACTGAATTGATTTTAATAAACAACAAATTATACAAAACCATATTCTGAACAGAAAATTAAAAAAGAAATCTGAAATGTAGAAATTTAAAGAAATACATCTAAAATACTATTGTATAACTATTTTCAAATCTGAAATTAGATTTTAGCTTCGATGCAAAGCTTAAAAGGTATTAATATTAATATAATGTGTTTTTTTTTTGTTAACACTTTTTCTAGCTCTAACCGAACCGCTTTCTTTCAAAGATACGTCAAAAGATCACAAATCGTATCTAGTCGAAGACATTACCCTCAAAAATTGAAAATTTTTCTCTTGTTCACCATTAATGGGAGAAATCTCCAAAAAAATTACAAATTTAAAAATCGCTAATGTTTGGCATTTTTTTATTTAAAACTGCCATAACTTTTTTAAAGATGACAAAATCGATATAATTTTTTTTGTATAGATACATGATGATTTTATCTATCATTTGATATATTATTTTTATAAATTTGATACTTTACCTGCCCACAGGAAGGGATTAAAAATAACAATTTTTTCACAAAAAATTAACTTTTTAACTAAATATTTGAAAGTGTTCCGGAAATACTGACACTTTTTTTAAATAAAACCATATCCCTTTATATTTTTATATATTATATATATATTACACTTAAAAATCATAAAACTTGTAATCAGGATATAAATAAGGAAATAGGAAATCATGTAGCTTTTGGAATAATACACCAATATTTTAAATTAAACACTATCTAAAGATTTGCATCGAACCATTTTTTATGATAGTGTTTTTAATCACTGTCAGATATCATTACACTTGACTCAACTATGCCACGTCCCCACTGTGCTGGGTTTTTTGTCTATCACTTCTTAGTTTTGATATTATTTTTATTTATTAAAAAATCCAAAAATTATAACACGAAAATAGCATATTTTTGAATACGGTAGCCATTTTCACTATAAACACAATCTAAAGTTTGAAATTTTTTTTGTTCATAGTAAATTATATTTCATACGTGTTAATTTAGGATATGTATAAAAATGTTAGTATTTCCGGACCACTTTTAAAAGTTAAGTTGATAAGTTGTCATTTTTAATCCCCCCTATGGGCAGGTGAAGAGTCAAAAAAAAAAAAAAAATATATATATATATATATACCAAATGATAAGTAAATACCTAATGTATATATGAAAAAAATTGTATTGATCCATATTTTTTTCAAAAACTTATTACAGCTTAAAGTAAAAAAAAAATAAAAAAATGTGGAAAATTACTGATTTTTAAATTTGTAATTTTTTTGGAGATTTCCCCCATTTACGGGGGACGAGGGAAATTTTTTCAATTTTTGAGGGTAATGTTTTCGACTTGATTTGCGAATTTTTGACGTATTGTTGAATGAAATCGATTTGGTGACAGCCCAAAAAAATTAGTAACAGACACAAAAAAATACACATTATAGTAAATACTTTCTTAACTTCGAAGTATCGAAGCTAAAAAATGGGATCTTTGTTACCCTTGATTTAGAATGATAAAAATGAAAACTAAAAATATTTTTTTAATTTCTTACGTTTAAAATTTTTATACTTAAATAAGGCTTAATATTATTAATAATATGTATTATAATCAGGTTTCCCGACTAAAAGCATTAAAGTTTTTTTAGCCATTCCGAGTATATCAATGATAAATAGATATTCCTGTTTGTGTATGAAGAACATTAAACATTGTATATAAATTAGAATTTTAGATATTGAGGCGTAAGGGATTATTTCACTTATAAATTATTAAATATATGTATTTAATTAAACCTAACTATATAATGTCTAACACATATATCATTGATAATATCAATTTTTTTAATTATAGAACTTTAATTTCCAATAATATTTAACAATAAGATAATATGCGTATGAAGTGTTTTTAAAAAAGGCGAATCATCTAGTTATTAAAAAATTAAGGATTTATTGAACTTCCAAATTATATAACAGATTTATTATTTCAAATTAACTTATAACATCTGGATATAAAATTAAATAACTAAATAAAACTAAATAAAACTAAGTAAAAACTAAATAAAAATTAACAAACTGTAAAAACGGTGTTTTTACAGTTTGTTTCCTTTTATAATTCTAATTAATAATATTAATAAATTATTCACACATTTTTTTTGACATTAATTAATGATATTTTTATTGACTTCAAGAAAAAATTTAAATTTATTTTATTGAAATTTGATAGCGTGGTCGTTATTTACAGAAAATATAACACTATTTTTTGGCTATTGTCAACGCTTAATTATTTATGCTTTTATCAATGAAAAAAATCGTCTGAATACATTTTTTTTTAATAATAATTAAACAAAATTTTATTAACTTTAAAATAATTCTAACTTAAGAGTCTATTATAAAAATTAAGTGCGTTATTCATTGTTTAGTAAAAAATAAGCAATTTTTATATGTTAATCATATGGTAAAATCCATTTATTAATTAATCGTCTCAAAATAATTTCCGAAATTACTTTATTTCATCGTAATACACAATTTTGAGGGTAGGAAACTAAAAAATATTTATATATTTTCAAATTTGAAAGGTGTAATATTTATTGATGTTAAATATGAGGGTTTCTGTAGTAAATTTGAAAAAAATTATTAAATTGTTAAATATAAGTATTTAGTAAAATTTTAATAAAGTTTTATATTTTTAGGTTGAAAAATGGGACACGGAAATACTAGTGTGTACCCTTGGGGTCCAGCCGACGTGTGTCCAGGAGGTTTAATATTGCCAATTCTTGATGAAAGATTATGGCCTATTAAAATCCGTGTTGCAGTATATCTATTGACACTTTTGTATTTTCTCTTGGGAATATCAATAGTAACAGATGTATTTATGACTGCGATTGATAAAATAACAAGCCATACGAAAAAAATTTACCTTGCCAAAGAATTATCAGAAAATGGCTCAACGGCTGTGCTCAAACCAGATCAACCTGAAGTAATAGAAGTTCGTGTATGGAATCCCACCTTAGCAAACCTTACTTTAATGGCTTTGGGTATGAAATTTCAGCACTTCCATTTAAACATTGTATAAGTCAGTCGCATAATTTATAATTTTGTAGGTACATCGTCACCTGAAATTTTATTATCTATCATCGAAACTATTGGTCATCATTTTGAAGCTAGAAAACTTGGTCCTAATATTATCGTTGGATCTGCCGCATTTAATTTATTGATCATTACTAGTCTTTGTACACTCACTTTAGGAGTAAATGAAAGGAGAAGAATACATGATCTAAAAGTTATTTTTTTATTTTTTAATTCGTTTTATTTTTAATATACATTTTTTTCGGTTTTTTTTAGGTATTTTTAGTTATTGGAGCATTTAGTTTTTTTGCTTACATTTGGCTTATGCTCATAATTGAAGTAATTTCCCCTAATGTAATTGAACTATGGGAGGCAGCCATGACGTTTTTATTGTTTCCCGTACTTATGTTATTTGCGTATGCTACAGACCAAAATTGGTGTGTCACAAATCCTATTCACAATAAACATCAAATGGATTTAGTATCCGTGGAAGATCAAAGTAAGATTGTGTAATTATTAATTACTAAAATTTGTTTATAACTATGCTATTCTAATATATTTATTTAGATAAACCACATAATGAACCCATTTTCAGTGATGGTAAAATAGACAAAGAAAACTTAATTAAATTTGTCAAAAGTGTAAAGAAGTTCCCGGGAATTACCGATGAAGATGCAGCAAAACTAGCTGCTACGAAATTAGTAGCTTCGACACACCATGGCACCATGTGGTACCGAATTGGAGCCGTCAGAATGTTTACGGGTGGCAAGCAAATTGAACCAGTACTTAACGATAATCTAAAAAAGGTTGTTAAAATTGTTGTATCCCAAAAACAATTTTTAATATTTGATATTTGAAAGGTTTACAATGTATTAAACTGTACTGGAAAGGAAGAGTCATTTAAAACTTTACCAACAGATTTTAATGATGAAAAATACTCAGTGGTTGAATTTCATGCTCCAACCATTGCAGTAAAAGAAAATATTGGAAAATTTCCCATTACCCTTTGGAGGCATGGAAATTTGAAGTCTAGAGCAGCCGTTAGGTAGAATAATTTGTAAATAATAATGACGTGGATTTCCTTAAATTTTAACTTTAATTTCTAGAGTTGAGAGCATTAACGGAACAGCTAAAGAAGGTGAAGATTATGTTAAAGTCAAAGAAATTGTCTGGTTTGAGGAAAATGAAGAAGAAAAACAAGTATAAAATTTGTTTATGTTTCCTGGTATTTAAAACTAAATATTGAAAATTAAAACTTTTGTTGTATTTTAGATATATATCGAAATAATTGACGATAACCAATGGGAACCCGATGAAGAATTTTTCCTCAGATTGTCAGTTTTCCATCAAAAAGAATATTTAGTAAAACTTGGAAGTTTGTCTATTATGGAAATAACAATAATTGATAATGACGGTATTAATATAATAATAAAACTGAATAATTTAAATAAATTTCTAAGTTCAATAAGTTCTTATAGAACCGGGTATCATAAGCTTTGGTAAACGAGGATTATTAGTGAAAGAAAGCGCTGGTGTTGTGGAAGTTCCCATTAATAGAACACACGGTTCTGACAGCGAAGTTACTGTTAAGTGGAGAACTATAGACGAATCAGCCATCTCTGGAAGAGATTACGTAGGAGGTCAAGGAGAGATTGTGTTTAAAGACAAAGAAGTTTCTAAAGTGTTGACAATTGAAATCATCAATGATATGTGTCCAGAAAAAGATGAATGTTTTGAAATTGAATTATTTGGTGCTACTGGAGGCGCTAAAATAGGAAATATCAATAGAATAGCTATAACTATAAGTAGTGATGATGGTAAGTATTCAAGTATTTTATTATTCACACCTTATAGAAAATTTTTTTAAATTAAAAGTCTTAAATTAGAAAATATTGATAAAATAATTTTTGTTAAGAGTTATAAAAATTAAATTAATTAAATTAACGTACTTGTGTACATTTTTTTATAGAAAATATTAAATAAAATACATGAAGTATATATATATATATATATATATATTTGTATTTCTTTTTACTATTATGTATTTTTTTGTCCATATAAATTCTCAGTTCTCTCTGATCTATACACCAATAAAACCCAATTAAATTAGTTGAACCAATCACCGTATCATAAAAAATGAGTAAAATTTTTTCCTGTATTTTATTATTGAAATAACTTTTAAATTAAAAGTTAGATTTTTATGAAATTTTAATACAAAATACTTAAGACGATAACCTTAATTTGATATGCTATCCAAGAAAATTTAATGAAAAGCTTGAGTACAGGATAGATTTTAACAAGACTACTTATGCATGTCAAATTTTTATTTCCATTTCAATTTTTGATAATATTTAGAACGTCTGCATTCATTAAATCTATACCAAATTAAAACTTATAAGATAGACAATAATATTAAAATAGAAAAAGAATGCCTAAACAATTTTTACTAGGAGAAAAGTAAAGAGAAATATGCAAGTATGTCTAAAAAAATATTTTGTTAATAATTTAAAAAATGTTCCAGAACGTTTATGTCCTTGAAACCTATATTTAATAAAAGCTAAAATCTTATATAAATTGTTACTCCCAAACAGAATTGTATCAAAGGGTTTTTATGACAGGGATTAACACAGTCAGATATCATCTAATCTTGTCCTTACTATGCAACGCCTTTACTGTGCTGTTATTTTTTAGATTTAAGTAATTTTATTGTGTTGATTGAGGGGTAAAACATCAATTAATACACTTAATAATTTTGTTTGTGTTTCCTTATAACCCCAAAAAGTTTTTAAGTTAACTCCATTCTAGCAAATTTGAATAAATAGAACTTATGAAAAAATTATATTAAATTTATATATTTCTTTTGCAGATTTTGATTCGGTTGTTGATCGTTTAATGTTGCTGACCAATATTAATATTCATGCGATTGAGTTGCATCGACAATCATGGGCAGAACAGATAAAATCCGCTATGACTGTTAATGGTGGTGATTTGGAAAATGCTACAACTTATACTTACGTCCTACACTTTTTATCGTTTTTCTGGAAGGTATTGTTTGCATTCATTCCACCGGCGGCTATATTCAATGGCTGGTTAAGGTTTTTTTCATCATTAATATTAATTGGGCTCATGGCAACAATAATTGGAGACTTAGCCACTATTTTCGGATGTCTGATAGGTTTAGATGACATTGTAACGGGTATGTCTTTCTATATTTTAGTACGATAGAATTAAATGTATAATTGTTGAATGCTGGAATAGAGTATCAATAATTTACACTAGTGATACGAGATATCGAATAGTAACTATCGAATTATTCGATAGTTGTCCACTATTCGAACTATTTGATAGTCATTCAAAAAAAAATTCGAATGTTAAAAATATTCGATAGTTACACAATATATTTGGATAGTTTATGCTAAAAATAAACTATTCGGTTGTATAAACACAATTCGAATAGTTATTCGATAGTTTAAAATATTCGAAAATGCCAATCACTAATTACCGTTAGCATTATTTTATGACAAAAAAAAAATGCTCATAGGTATGTCTAAACATACTATAAATTAAAAAACATTAATTAGTTTTGAGTGATCGTTACAAACAATAGCATTAATTTACCTTACAGTACAACTGAAAATATCTTACTAAAACTTCGTGTTATATTTGATCTTGTGTATAACTATTGTTCTATTCGTTGAACAGAAAACCGAATACAAATCAGTGGTTTAATATCTGTCAGTATTGGTTAAAAGTTGAAATTTTAATTCAAAATTTTTTGTAGCCATAACAATTGTGGCCTTGGGGATGTCATTGCCGGATATCTTGGGAGCGTGCATGGTCACCCGAGCAGAAACCCACGCTGATGAAGCTATGATTCATATTGCTGGTTCAATAGCGGTCAAGGTTCTTATGGGCGTTGGTTTACCATGGTTTATAGCTGCATTATATCACTATCAACACGTTAGTCCAAATCATTGTGTATTTTAACTTTAAAATTAAAATTGTATAATCTTCCCGCGCATATTTTTCAGGATCACTTTTTCAAAGTTCCGTCCAATCAAATAGGATACAATGTATTATTGTACTGTATAATGGCTATTTTAGCTGTAACAATATTAATGATTCGCAGAAATATCTATTTTTTCGGAAAGGCCGAATTAGGTGGCCCTCAAAAAGGACGATACATTACTGTCGGGATATTTGTCACTCTGTGGGTAGTTTATCTATCTATTACATCATTTAAGACTTTTTAATTTTATTATGCGGAGTTTATTTGTTGAACACGTGATATATTACCTACAACACACACTAATTAGTTATTCTTTTCTTTTCTATTCTATATTAGACATTAATTATACGATCAATGTAAAGAATTATAGCTCTACTTAACATCCTAACTTTTATAGACATTATTTGAGCGTAATGTTATTATTAATATTAATCACCCAGTTGTATATAAATATTAAAACTAATAAATTAACTTCTCATTGTATTATATGGATAATATGCTGTAGAAGAGAATAGTAAGCTAATGGAAAAAGATGCAGTAATGTTTAAAATAAAAAATCCATTCTTATTATTTTTAAAAAATCTTTTCTCTTCTTATCCAAGTACTGATCTCAGTCTACAGTATTTTATACGTGCTAGGAAATACTTATAAGATTTTTATTTTCAATTTAATGTTTTTTAATAATAATACTTTTAATAATATTTTAATTATTTTTTTATTTTTAATAATGTGATGTTTTTTTATAAGTACTTAAATATAATGTATTTTTTATTGATTGTTTTTAAATGAAATAAATTTTATAAAGTTATTTTCAACTTGATTCTATATTAATTTTTAAACTTTTTTTGATACATTATCATCTTTTTAGCGTCTTCAAACATTGACTTTTATCAAGAAAACTAAAAGTTTTAAAAATTCTTATGATAAATATTATTATATATAATATAACACAATATATTATTAAATTTTATTTTAAACTAAATGTATGTAACAAAATTGAAGTTTTTAGGATGAAAAAATTAAGAATGTTTAGTTGGTTTTGAAACGACTTTCTTATTAGTAGTTAAGTACAATTTATATTAAATGTCTATAAATTACATAATATTAAGGTAAAGTAGTCATGTATAAATATTATGAATCTAGTATAACAATTTATTTAAAATTTAAAATCTCTTAAAAAAAAAATGTTGGTCACCGATTTGATTAATAAAAATATTTTTTTGATTAAGTGCTTTCTTTTATTACCTAAATGATTCGTAATCATTTTTAGTAACTACTCTATTTTAAATACTAAATCCATTTTTACCAGTGAAAGCTGGAATGTACAATTCAAAATTCAATATGTTGAGAAAACATATTTTTTTATCCTTTGTTGAAATTTATAGTTAAAATATGTTTTCATAATTAAAACAATAAATTTGTTATAATTTATTCTTAAATAAATTTCTAAATTATATTATTCACCTCAACGTTTTACAAAATTATATTTGGTAAGTTTAATTCTACTAATAATTTTAATCTTTATAAGGATGTGGTAAAAATCTTGATTGATTTTATAGAATAGAATGCACTAAATTGTAACTTGATGAGCGAGACGAAAATTTAAATTTGTCTCCAAGGAGGAACATTGTAAATTAACTGATATATCATTTAACTAACATAACAATGAAATGTTAGATGCTACTATCATACATAAATAATTATTTACATTATAATGTGTTTATAAATGATTAATCATGAGTTAAAAGAGTATAATTAGGATTTTCTATATCCTAGTGTACAAAATTCAAATTTTACATATAATATCAAAATAAAATGGATACTCAATTTCAAGGTTTTATTTGGCAACATGTAATAATATCACAACATATAAGTTATATAAGAATAGATATTATCAATTTTTTGATAAAACTTTGTTATTATTTTTCAAAAATATTGATCTGATTTACATATAATCCATTTACAATCATTTTACGATCAATTTATTGACTTATAGCCAGTGACGTGCCCAGGAATTTTAAATGGGGAAGGATGTCATAACTAATAGGTATTAATACAACTAAATACATTTAATAGGGGTGAAAGAATTAGAAAAAGATTAATAAGGGAGCTTTAGAGGTCAAGCCTCATTAAAATATTTATTAATATTTTATGTTTAGAATGATATGATGTAATGTTGTTATACAAATATACAATGTAATAATTACAACTTAATTCAATTATTGCTGTTAGGTACTCGATGCTAGAAAAAAAACGCAATGGGGAGGGATATGACCCCTAACCTCCCCCCCTGGGTACTCCACTGCTTATAGCTACATTAATTAAAATTATTTTTAATAGTCAAAGATTTTACAGAGGAATACATATGTGATTGTATATAAATGAATAATTGTTTCATATTATGTTTAAAAAAAATGAATTAGTATAAAAAAACATGTAAAACTTTATATTTCTTGCAACTTTGCAAAAGTTAGTCGGTGTCTATTTATCTTCTGTCACGAAATCAACAAAATCATTTAATTTAATTTTTAATACTAATTTAAAAATTAATAAAAAAATGTAATTGACTGGAAAACGAACGTAGGTTTTCTTGCATTTTGAGTGAGAGTACATCTGTCAAGCTACAAAACAACCAAACTTAATATTCAATTAAGTTTCGATAGTGTTACATAATATAACTACACTATACTGTTTACACTACATAAATAAATGATTACATCTAACTTTTGATAAAATAAGATTTTATTTGTTAATAACACATAATAATCTTTAATAAATGTATGTTCGAAAATATTTAGTAATTACGATTAATTTATTCACCAAGACGTATTTTCATTAACTGTTATTACATACGTATTTTTTTAACAGTAACTCTATTAACGTTTTGTACAAGTTGATCATTCTTTAAAAGTAGATGTAAATAGTCTGACCTCTCTATAAAATTGTCGAATATCTTAACTAGACATAAAAACTATTTAGCACGGCTATCTGGAATTTCTTTAATTATTCTCAACAAAGAGCGTAATGAATTTTTATGGCATTTCAGAAGAAATTTTGAAATTATCAGTAAAATACGTAAGAATCAAATTCATATAATATATACAAAAATTATCAATTATTTTTTATTAGTTTAATATTGGCTATTTCAACAAAATTTATTCAATGATATTATAAAATTATTAAAAAATAATTTATTGTTTGTTTATTTATTTTTTTATTAATTTCGAGATTTTTGAAACATAATGTTTATATAGATTGTGTTTGAAAAATTGTATTTACATTTAATTTATCCATATTATTATAGAATGTATTTTAGTCAGTAGAATTAAATAAGTATAAAAATAAGTTAAGGATGATAATATTACATAAAATTTATTATTTATGTGACGGTCAACCAGTTTTTTCAGGGGCGTGAATTAGTGCGTAGTAATAATACGCTGTTGTTTGATACATTGAAATAAAAATGTAGTCAGCGAAACTTATATTTTAAAGTCATATATGATAAATAGATATTCCTGTTGTTGTAATATCTATTTTGCACGAATAAAAAAAATGCATTAATCAGATAACATTTCTAATAATTTTTAACTAATTTAAATAAAATATGAACACATTAATTGATGGTGAAATGTATAATTTGGATTAAATATATTCCGCATAGGACGAATTGGATGAACATGGGCCAGGTGATAGGTTTGAAGGCGAAATTGGAGTAATATAATCATTTTAAAATGCAAATCTCATGCACTGTAGACCTTTTTTTTCATCGACACAAAAATGATGAGTAAAAGTAAAATTTTCATGGGAAACGTATTGTTAAAAACCGATGTTTTGTACATTTGTTCGGAAACACTCTGTATAATACTCTCTACTTATAGCAATGTAAAAATTACAAGTGTAAAAGTACAGTAATAGTGTCACTAATCATTGAACTAAGTATCAATGTAGAAACAACCAAGGTGAAAAAATATTGTAATAGTAGAATTGAATTAAATTATTTCTCTCACTTCATTGTAAAAAATACCATTTAGTTAAATTAATGTTAGATATTACATATTTCTTTTTAAATTAAAAAATATATATATTCTTACGTTCAACATAACTTTTTCAAAAATTAGTAAAAAGCAAAATTCAGAATAAAAAAAAAAACCCAGCACAGTGGGGTCGCGGCATAGTGGGGATGTTGCATAGTTGGGTCCAGTATAGATTTAATCTGACAGTGATTAAAATCACTATCATAAGAAACGCTTCGATGCAAATCAGTAGATAGTGTTTAATTCTAAGAAATTGGTGGATAATTACAAAAGCTACATTATCTGCTAGTTTCTTATTAATACCCTGATTAAGATAAAGTATGTCGAATGAAAAAGGGATTATTAAAAAATATTATTTCTCATAAAAAAATTGTGTTGATTCGTACACTTTTCAATGAGTTATAGCATTATAAAGTTAAAAATGTAACCAACCCAACCCAACATCAACTCCTATTTCCTTAATTATATCCAGATTAGTAATTATTTTAATTATATATTATATAATTTTTATAATTAATTATTTTCAAATTATTATTGATTTTTAATATGTTAAAAGTAATCATTTTGAACCTACTTCTTTTTGTTCTTTAAAGTGAAAGTTTTAATAAAAAAAAAATGAATTTATTACCATAACTTTTAACTCAACTTGCAAGTTTGAAATAAATATTATTAAATAGAAAAAAAT